GTCTCTGTTGACACATATTGACATTTTGTTGACACAGTTCTCAGGTAGACAACATTGAGTCTCTGTTGACACATATTGACATTTTGCTGACAGTTCTCAGGTAGACAACATTGGGTCTCTGTTGACACATATTGACATTTTGTTGACACAGTTCTCAGGTAGACACCACAGGCGCTCAGTATGTAACCGCTCCGTTACGAAAATAAATATTCGGTCTGTTGTTAGTTCTTGAATTCATACGTCTGTCTTAGCCGAATGTGCATCAACATCATTATAATTATGATAGCATTCGCGTTGATTTCTATCACAGACGAAGTATCAATAAAGGTCGAACAGCACATTTTGTATAACACTATGTCTTTGCATTTTCTCCATTAAAAACATAAACAGTCGCCAGGATATTATTCTATATTTCTTTTTTTTTTAATTCATTTCAAAATTTCGTTACCAGTTTCATTTAAATACGCTTAAACAACATGAACACATGCATATGGGATATTCATGTACGTGCACATAATATCTGATATTTTCATGAAAACAGTCGTTTTATAATTTAACCTACTTTAAGCTAAAAATCAATTGTTTCGCTAGGTCAAGGTAAATCAGGTGCGTCTAGCCTAACTTGTCAATACGAACCTCCATTAATATGCAATAAAGACATCGTTAAACTGGGGAGAGGAAAATAACAGAGAAATAACGGCCGCTAACGAAGCCATTTAAATGTCAATAAACGATTTTGTAACACGGAGTACACTAATGTGATTTATTGCTTGTGTTTCTAGTGGGCGGGAGGCGACTGGACAGATTTATAAAGCTTCGAAATCAGTAGGTAATAAGAATCGATTTGTTCAAGTCAAATCATATGAAATAGAAAAAATGACAGGGAATAGAACTAAAATAAGTCAACCACAACATAAAAATGACGCAACGCGAATTTAGAAAGCGAAACGTTACGGTAGCGTTATCGAAATTCGGAGTGACGAAAGAAAAGTACTCAGCCCTGAAGAAACTTTTAAACGGATAATCTTTATGAAAAAAAAAAGAAATAACCACTAACATAAAAATATATAAGCACTGAAAATAAAACTCCGCTATAATTGTATCTCCCCTGGCAGACATTGTAAGGTTCCTGCAATGTACATGTAAGCACAAGGACATGCCAATCAATTACATGGTGTGTTCTGTGTGTTAGGGGTGTTATTATTTTAGCCTCTCAGATAGTGTGAATTCTGTTTTTGATATAAAATTCAATACCCGCCTTGATACTATTGCTCTCCACTAGGCTGCGCTCTTTGCTACCTGTAAGTTTTGTATTTTACAGTCTCAAAGATTCAATAGCACAGGGTTCTGTCAGTATATGCAAGAAACCCTTTAAGAGATTGAAAAGTATATGAAATATTTTCATAACATAAAATCATATGTAATGTGTGGTCATTAAAAAGCTTAAAAAACGCATAACGTGTGTTTGGGCATATACACATACATGTCAAACTTACTTTTTCATTTGATGATCCAACCGACCGAGCTTTTGTTTTAAATCCTCGTTCATGTATTTTAATGCATTTTGATATCATTTACTTTGAAATGCAATTATAATAGTCATTGATGAGAGCTATATATCAAACGAAATTAATGTGTTTGGTAGATAGACTCAAGATAGACTCACTAGAGGCCTAGTACTATATTCATCGAACAGCATCAACCACTATTTCCGAAAGAGAGAAAAAAGCGGGAAAAAATTCGCCGTCTTATCTCCCAACCTCCAAAAAGTTTAGTATTTCCTGAACACAACGGAAAATACTAAGTTAACCTAATAACCATTTACCATGGTAACGAGAACGCCAAAATTTCAGGTTCCATACTCTAGTTACTGGCGTTGTGTCAATAAGCGAAACTACACAGTTGTATAATGGAAGGAGGGGTCGGATTGAGGCCTTGAGGGGTGGGGATGCTATACAGTCATAAGTCAATTTGCCGTTTATCCCATTTTTTTTTTTTTTTTTTTTTAAACTGCGATAATAGGTGTAGATTTCAGTATCACGAATAAATTGAAGGGTCCGTGGTACCGAACATCGATGCCATGGACCCTGCAAAATTATTCGTGAAAATTGGCGCTCTGTTAGTAGCAGTACATTTTTATACTTGAACAAGATTCGAACTGTAACACATGATGAAAACATTGATAAAGAGTTAACTTAAACATGATTGTATTTTAAAACTTAACTGTATCAAATAGTTTGTTAATTTTTATCGATTTGATTTTCAGCGGCCCGCAATGCTATGGGCGAATATATTGTACCGGCTGGAGGAAAAGCACTAACATCGCTTGGTAAGTGAATTCATATCAAATCGTATTGTATTGTACCGTCAGAGAGAAAAGGTACCAACATCGCTAGGTAAGTAAACTTATTGTGTACCGTCCGAGAGAAAAAGTACCAACATTGTTAGGTAAGTAAACTTATTGTATACCGTCCGAGAAAAAAAGGTACCAACATCGCTAGGTAAGTAAACTTATTGGGTACCGTCCGAGAGAAAAAGTACCAACATTGTTAGGTAAATAAACTTATTGCAAACCGTCCGAGAGAAAAAGTACCAACATCGCTAGGTAAGTAAACTTATTGTGTTCCGTCCGAGAGAAAAAGTACCAACACTGTTAGGTAAATAAACTTATTGTATACCGTCCGAGAGAAAAGGTACAAACATCGCTAGGTAAGTAAACTTATAGTATTGTACCGTCAGAGAGAAAAAGTACCAACACTGTTAGGTAAGTAAACGTATCGTGTACCGTCCAAGAGAAAAGTACCAACATCGCTAGGTAAGAAAACTTATTGTATACCGTCCGAGAAAAAAAGGTACCAACATCGCTAGGTAAGTAAACTTATTGTATTGTACCGTCAGAGAAAAGAAGCGCACACATCGCTAGGTAAGTAATCTTATTGTATTGTACCGTCAGAGAGAAGAAGCGCACACATCGCTAGGTAAGTAATCTTATTGTGTACCGTCCGAGAGAAAAAGGTACCAACATCGCTAGGTAAGTAAACTTATAGTATTGTACCGTCAGAGAGAAAAAGTACCAACACTGTTAGGTAAATAAACTTATTGTATACCGTCCGAGAAAAAAGGTACCAACATCGCTAGGTAAGTAACCTTATTGTGTACCGTCCGAGAGAAAAAGGTACCAACATCGCTAGGTAAGTAAACTTATTGTGTTCCGTCCGAGAGAAAAAGTACCAACATCGATAGGTAAGTAAACTTATTGTATTGTACCGTCAGAGAAAAGAAGCGCACACATCGCTAGGTAAGTAATCTTATTGTGTACCGTCCGAGAGAAAAAGGTACCAACATCGCTAGGTAAGTTAACCTATTGGGTACCGTCCGAGAGAAAAAGTTCCAAAACTGTTAGGGAAATAAACTTATTGTATACCGTCCGAGAGAAAAAGTACCAACATCGCTAGGGAAGTAAACTTAATGTATTGTACCGTCAGAGAGAAAAAGTACCAACATCGCTAGGTAAGCTAGCTTATTGAATTGTGCCGTCCGAGAGAAAAAAAGTACCAACATTGTTAGATAAATAGACTTATTGTATACCGTGCGAGAGAAAAAGTACCAACATCGCTAGGGAAGTAAACTTAATGTATTGTACCGTCAGAGAGAAGAAGCGCCCACATCGCTAGGTAAGTAAACTTATTGTGTTCCGTCCGAGAGAAAAAGTACCAACATCGATAGGTAAGTAAACTTATTGTATTGTACCGTCAGAGAGAAAAAGTACAAACATCGCTAGGTAAGTAAACTTATTGTGTTCCGTCCGAGAGAAAAAGTACCAACACTGTTAGGTAAGTAAACGTATCGTGTACCGTCCAAGAGAAAAGTACAAACATCGCTAGGTAAGTAAACTTATTGGGTACCATCCGAGAGAAAGAGTACCAACATTGTTAGGTAAATAACCTTATTGTGTACCGTCCGAGAGAAAGAGTACCAACATCGCCAGGTAAGTAAACTTATTGTATACCGACCGAGAGAAAAAGTACCAACATTGTTAGCTAAGTAAACTTATTGTGTACCGTCAGAGAGAAAAAGTACCAACACTGTTAGGTAAATAAACTTATTGTATACCGTCCGAGAGAAAAGGTACCAACATTGTTAGCTAAGTAAACTTATTGTGTACCGTCAGAGAGAAAAAGTACCAACATCGCTAGGGAAGCTAGCTTATTGAATTGTGCCGTCCGAGAGAAAAAAAGTACCAACATTGTTAGATAAATAAACTAATTGTATACCGTGCGAGAGAAAAAGTACCAACATCGCTCGGTAAGTAAACTTATTGTATACCGTCCGAGAGAAAAAGTACCAACATCGCTAGGTAAGCTAGCTTATTGAATTGTGCCGTCCGAGAGAAAAAAAGTACCAACATTGTTAGATAAATAAACTTATTGTATACCGTGCGAGAGAAAAAGTACCAACATCGCTAGGTAAGTAAACTTATTGTATTGTACCGTCAGAGAGAAAAAGTACCAACACTGTTAGGTAAGTAAACGTATCGTGTACCGTCCAAGAGAAAAGTACCAACATCGCTAGGTAAGTAAACCTATTGGGTACCGTCCGGGAGAAAAAGTACCAACATTGTTAGGTAAATAAACTTATTGTGTACCGTCCGAGAGAAAGAGTACCAACATTGTTAGGTAAATAAACTTATTGTGTACCGTCCGAGAGAAAAATTACCAACATCGCTAGGTAAGTAAACTTATTGTATACAGTCCGAGAGAAAAAGTACCAACATCGCTAGGTAAGCTAGATTATTAAATTGTGCCGTCCGAGAGAAAAAAAAGTACCAACATTGTTAGATAAATAAACTTATTGTATACCGTGCGAGAGAAAAAGTACCAACATCGCTAGGTAAGCAAACTTATTGTATACCGTCCGAGAGAAAAAGTACCAACATCGCTAGGTAAGCAAACTTATTGTATACCGTCCGAGAGAAAAAGTACCAAAACTGTTAGGTAAATAAACTTATTGTATACCGTCCGAGAGAAAAAGTACCAACATTGCTAGCTAAGTAAACTTATTGTGTACCGTCCGAGAGAAAAATTACCAACATCGCTAGGTAAGTAAACCTATTGGGTACCGTCCGGGAGAAAAAGTACCAACATTGTTAGGTAACTAAACTTATTGTATACCGTCCGAGAGAAAAAGTACAAACATCGCTAGGTAAGTAAACTTATTGGGCACCGTCCGAGAGAAAAAGTACCAACATTGTTAGGTAAGTAAACTTATTGTATACCGTCCGCGAGAAAAAGAACCAACATCGCTAGGTAAGTAAACTTAATGTATTGTACCGTCAGAGAGAAAAAGGACAAACATCGCTAGGTAAGTAAACTTATTGAATTGTACCGTCCGAGAGCAAAAGTACCAAAACTGTTAGGTAAATAAACTTATTGTATACCGTCCGAGAGAAAAAGTACCAACATCGCTAGGTAAGCTAGATTATTGAATTGTGCCGTCCGAGAGAAAAAAAAGTACCAACATTGTTAGATAAATAAACTTATTGTATACCGTGCGAGAGAAAAAGTACCAACATCGCTAGGTAAGTAAACTTATTGAATTGTGCCGTCCGAGAGAAAAAAAAGGTACCAACATCGCTAGGTAAGTTAACTTAGCGCAAACATCGGTGGATAAGTAATTATATTAACTTATTGTGTTGCATGGTAAGAGAGAGAAAGCGCTAGCATCGCTAGATAAGGAAACTGATCGTATTGTACCGTCGGAGAGAGGTTCTAGTCTAGTTTTTTTTTTCTTTTTTTCTTTCTAAACGATAGCATTGCCAAAACAAGTGAATTCAATTAACCACTTAGGAAAAGCGCCAACAGAAGTGAATTAACAATTCTACAATTTTAGATGGGATGGGTATCAATTATCTTCGCCGCCTTAGACCAAACATTCCAGGTTCAAAATACAGTTATTTCAAATGAGATATTCAATAAACAATTTATATATCATCTTTTAAACGTGAATATTTTGTATGTTTCCATCTAGGTTAGTCTTACTAGCGGTTACGCACGTTTTCCGTGTCAATATTTATTGCAAAACCTTGAACTAGACTATATTTCTCCCATTCTGTTATCAGAAATCTTCTTACCACTTAATTGTAATTTCACAACTGACATTTAATTATTAAGATATAATCTGTTTTACTCACTGATGTTTTACAGTCATTGTCAGTTACGTTAAATTAACGAAGAAATAAGTGGCAGGAATGTATTTCTGTTACACACTTGAAACCTTAATTACACTATGACCCACTTAAAACATTTAACTCGTTTCAATTACGGAACAAGTTCTATCAAGACCTGAACTATTTTAAAACAAGCTCAGCAGATCCACCCAATTGTCTTGATATACATCTTGAATGTACAGTGCTGGGGATCTACTGGTATCTTAACCAAAACTAGCCGTTGTTGTTTTTCTCGTGTTATAAATAAGGCCGTATAGATAATCATTTCCTAAATTTTATCAAAGAATATATTTAATGGTTATCAATTGTGATGATTCGGAATATATGGACGAGGGGAGGCAATCGCTTTATATTGTTTAAAAGTTAAAGCCAAATTGGATCACCCTGTTGCATTCCTTCAGATACAAACATTACGTTTTCCCATTTCAACACGACCTAGTAATATTCCAATTTTCAATATTCATGTATAATATAGTACAAATGTATTTTTTTCTTCTTACATTTGAAATATTTTTTGTACATTTTGTTACAAAAATGTATCAGAGGGGTCTCATACATGTGACACTTTTACCAGGAGTCTTTACACTGAATTATACATCACATGTGACACTGTTACCAGGAGGCTTTACACTGAATTATACATCACATGTGACAGGTTTCCCAGGAGTCTTTACACTGAATTATACATCACATCTGACACTTTTACCAGGAGTCTTTACACTAAATTATACATCACATGTGACACTGTTATCAGGAGTCTTTACACTGAATTATACATCACATCTGACACTTTTACCAGGAGTCTTTACACTAAATTATACATCACATGTGACACTGTTATCAGGAGTCTTTACACTGAATTATACATCACATGTGACACTGTTACCAGGAGGCTTTACACTGAATTATACATCACATGTGACAGGTTTACCAGGAATCTTTACACTGAATTATACATCACATGTGACAGGTTTACCAGGAATCTTTACACTGAATTATACATCACATGTGACACTGTTACCAGTAGTCTTTACACTGAATTATACATCACATGGGACACTGTTACCAGGAGTCTTTACACTGAATTATACAGCACATGTGACACTTTTACCAGGAGTCTTTACACTAAATTATACATCACATGTGACACTGTTATCAGGAGTCTTTACACTGAATTATACATCACATCTGACACTTTTACCAGGAGTCTTTACACTAAATTATACATCACATGTGACACTGTTACCAGGAGGCTTTACACTGAATTATACATCACATGTGACAGGTTTACCAGGAATCTTTACACTGAATTATACATCACATGTGACACTGTTACCAGGAGTCTTTACACTAAATTATACATCACATGTGACACTGTTACCAGGAGTCTTTACACTAAATTATACATCACATGTGACACTGTTACCAGGAGGCTTTACACTGAATTATACATCACATGTGACACGTTTACCAGGAGTCTTTACACTGAATTATACAGCACATGTGACACTTTTACCAGGAGTCTTTACACTGAGTTATACATCAAATGTGACACTTTTACCAGGAGTCTTTACACTGAGTTATACATCAAATGTGACACTTTTACCAGGAGTCTTTACAGTGAATTATACATCACATGTGACACTTTTACCAGGAGTCTTTACACTGAGTTATACATCAAATGTGACACTTTTACCAGGAGTCTTTACAGTGAATTATACATCACATGTGACACTTTTACCAGGAGTCTTTACACTAAATTATACATCACATGTGACAGGCAGATCATGTCCAGACGCTGCAGTAATATTGTTAGAATCAATGCGACTATGTTTGTTATATTTCTGTTGCTTTGGTTTAAGTTTGGCGTTCATCTCTAATTTTGTGGTTTTTGGATTCAAGCACTACTCAGTTAAATTGATGATCCCTGTGAATGGTATAGGAAGTAAAGAAAGTATACCCCTGACAATATCAAAATCTAATTTCTTATTATAATCATTTCTATGGCAGATTTTGTATGTATCAAAGAAAGAAATTTCCTTACAATTATATTGATGTGAAAATGATTGATTAATTTATTACTAATATCCTATGATCAAATATTAAAACAAATTTACAATGTCCACACACTGTTAGAATATCCCACAAAAATCTCTGACATAGATCGAATCATGAAGCAGACTTCTTACGCTCTCTTAAGTCCAAACTTTAAATTTCATTAAATTTAAATGGTTTTCTTTAGAAATTGGTCTGAATCAGTGAAAATGTCTGTATATGAATTCACATTTTATATTGAATGGAAATACTAGACAATCAACATTTCAAATTTTGACTTAGAAGTTTGAAATAGTTTTAATTAAATTGCTTATATGGAGCTTACATAAGCGATAAAGTCAATGAAATTATCTGATGTACATTTTATTTATAACTATACTGGATTTACAGATAAATAGATATATGTTAAATACCTTTAGCTAGAGTTTTGTTCTGTTATTCATTTTCTTTTATCATGACATTGAAAAGCTTTTTTTTTATCATATCATTGATTTTTAAATGTTATCTACAACCTTCCATATATACACTAAATATTGTTCAATAGTGTGACTTAAAGCTGTTTCACTATCAATGAAACGTAATCAAACACCGTTATGTGTAGATTTAATTAATTATGAAAAATACAGATCAATCAATTGAAATGTTTCAAGTTTAAAAGATATTTATCAAAAACAAAAATCCTGTATTGAATCAAGTTTTATAAAAAAAGTGTGTCATGCAATGCTTCAAACGGTACCGTTCAAACAAACAATTGACATATACATCAAATTTCAATTAACCATTTAAGTGTATCTGGTGTTTCATTACTAATTAACATGATTACCTGTTTACACATGAGGGATTTCAAAAGGTCGGGAAACAGTATATATATACCTAGTACACCTGATGGTGTGAGATCCGTTCAGTTAATGGTAGATATACGATCACCAGGTAGATATACCTGATAATGATGTTGTATCGACCAGCCTTCACCTCTCCTACCTCACCTGTGTAGTTATTAACTCCAGGTTACAATATACCTGTCCTAACATTTTTTCCTGTTACCTGTCTCGATAATTACACAAAGGACCAGGTGGTGTTCAATTTCATATGTACCTTAACTTGTAATCATATTTAAGGATACTCGTCCCACTACCAAAAATTGTAACTTCATTTTAGAAACTGCCTTTCCCGGCATGACTATAGCGTTGATAAATCATTTTGAAAAGAAAACCACACCATGGGAGACTTTTATGAGAAATAATGAAGATAAAATATACAAAAATTAATCCACAGCAGTGTTCTGAGTGTAAAACGTTAGCAGGGCTAGACCTGGATTCGAACCCTAGACTTCAGATTGTTATACTATCGCTCTAACCAACCCTGCTCTCTAGTCAAGGGAAGTGTCCTGACTAAACTGTGTTACAGCAATACCCCAAACAAAATTAATGGGAGGTTACTGTACATACGAAAAACAACCAGTTCAACAAGTATCCTTAATGCCTTATAGACACTGTAACACCAGTGTTTATGTTTTAAACTTTGAAAATTTGCCCAGCATTTATGGCAGACATTTTAAAATCTCAAATTACTTATATTATATCTGTGTGTGATACATTATTAGATATAAAGAAATGATCTGACGCTGTTCGGGTGTTTGCTAATAATATATGATTATGTATATGTTCTTTTGTGAATTTTCTGCCTGTATTTGAATATAAGGTATGTATTTTTCCTTTCTTGTGTCAATTAACAACTAACTTTTTAATATAATTTTGGTACATGCTACATTTTTATTCAGTGAATTATTTTGGTTACTAAACTGTATCACAAAATCATAGCCGATTAGTTTATGTTGAAGTATAAACTCTGGCAATTTGTACTTATTACTTAGTTAAACCAGATCTAGAGAACTTTATGATTGAAGTAAGCATTTTAGGGTTGGGGGTAGGGGCTCGGGGGTGGAGCGACTGGTCACAGTGGTGGATGGGGACAGTCGTACCAAATTATCTATTCTGCCTCAAAAAATATCCATATATACCTTTAATAAGTTTTTATTGATGACTTTATTTGAAAGCAGATTCCAGGGAAGTAAATTGGATTAGAGGAATCATATACGTTATGTATCTGTTGTCCTTTAAGTTGTAGCCAGATCAATTTAGGAGGACTAATGATTCTCACACCAGTGTATACATGTATGCATACACTACCAAAAAGCGTTTAGGAGAATTATAATTAAAATTAATAGATTTTGGCTTTATCTATAAACTTGAACATTTTCTTTTAATGATAAATTTCAAATATTGCCATGACCTTTTGACCTTGAAACTAATAAATAAATTGTGTATTATTTCAATATCAATTACAGTTACTAGTGATGATGAAAAATATGAACTTCAGACCTTCTTTGTTCACAGAAACCCCCAAATGAAGGTTTTTCACCCAGGACAGTTCTCAACAATTGCCCTATGTAACTATAGGTACCTTGGGGTAAAAAATCTTTAAAAGGTATCAAATATACCCCCAAATCTAACTTTCAGTTGGAACGCTGGACCTTCACTGAGTACAAATATTGACCTTTAAAGTACACTGAAAGTCATTATATATTCATTTGACCTTTCCAGGTAATCCTGCCCCTGGACCAGCCAACTACTGTCCCCATATCGGACTAACCCGAAGTTCGGCACCTCAGTATTCCATTGTAGGCAAGCACAGGTCCAATAATGATGGTAAGTGTATGGTCTCTTCTTCAAAACATTGCCTAATCCATCTTAATTCCCATCCATCCCAGCTCTATCTCCTGTGTTTTCTACATGCTTATATACCTGTGTCTGTGATACAACTCTATCTCCTGTGTTTACTACATGTTTATATACCTGTGTCTGTGATACAACGCTATCTCCTGTGTTTTCTACATGTTTATATACCAGTGTCTGTGATCCAATTCTATCTCCTGTGTTTACTACATGTTTATATACCTGGGTCTGTGATACAACTCTATCTCCTGTGTTTTCTACATGTTTATATACCTGTGTCGGTGATACAACTCTATCTCCTGTGTTTTCTACATGTTTATATACCTGTGTCGGTGATACAACTCTATCTCCTGTGTTTTCTACATGTTTATATTCCTGTGTCTGTGATACAACTCTATCTCCTGTGTTTTCTACATGTTTATATACCAGTGTCTGTGATACAATTCTATCTCCTGTGTTTACTACATGTTTATATACCCGTGTCTGTGATACAACTCTATCTCCTGTGTTTTCTACATGTTTATATACCTGTGTCTGTAATACAACTCTATTCATACTTCAAAATATTGTATCATAATTCTCCTCCATTCAATAATTTGCACTTACCTGCTTCAACCTTTACTTCAGGTATCCACATGCAAGCCTGATTAAAGCAAATATTTGTTAATAATGTAGAAAATATTGTTAACTACTGTATGAAGGGAAACTTTCACCCTGTCAAACTTCCCCCTACCCAATAAATCAATTTTCACCCACTTTTAATTTCACCCTTCATATTAAATTACTACATATGCATAACTTATATTTGGTTTAATGATACACTTGCGTTCATCATGGAGGGCAAAAAAGGCAGAAGTTAAACTGTGGCGAAAATGTTCCAGTATACTGTAATTCATTAAAGGCCCATCAACCTAGCTTTTACTTAAGCTTTAGTAATGACCTTGAACTTATTAACTCATTAACCCCTAAAGACACTTTTTTAACTCTTCCAATTCAAATGTTGGGATAGTTCATTATAAAATGTCAGGGGTGAATGAGTTAAATAGTCATATAAATATATTACTGCTGTTGGCATCATTTGTTCTCTAGAGTGCTTATAAATATTGCACCAGACAGACATACAATGATTCCCTTATATCTTACATCCTTAATTGGTGACCTACATTTGTGCCATATTTGGTAGAGAAAGTGCTTACCCTCTTTTGACACAGTCATGGTTAAATTTCAGGGCTTTCTGTGTTTTGACCCTCCAACATTTATTAGATTTCTGAAATTGCTAAATGTCAGTGGTTTACTGAAAGCTCAAGGTCAGGTCGTAGTCATGAAACTGTGCTCTCAACGCTCATCACTTAATTGGATTTTGTGTATCAAAAAGTAAAATGTAAACATTGAAAACAGTATTAGGCTTTTAAGTACTTTCAGATTTTTTTCCAAATCATTGACCATTTTTTTTTTTTTATAATTTTATGACTGGAACAAGGAATGAGGTTTGAGCACGAAATCAATGCTTGAGCTTGAAAATGGCTTCATGAATACAGGCCCTGCTAGTTTTTCTCACTGCTATATTTTCAAGAGTTAGTGTTGCCTTTCCTTTTGTTTTGGTGTGTCATAATTTCCTGTTGTCGTCTCTTCGTATTGACTTTCCTTGTGTGTTGAATTTTTCCTCTTTTTTTTTATCTTATGTTGTCCAGCCTCCATGTCGTTATAAACAACTTGTGTGATATTTATAGCCGGCAAAGGTATACCAGGTCCCTCGGACTATACAACTACTGGGGATCTGATCTGGAAGAAGAAAAACTCCACATTGAAAAGTCGTGGCAAGAGCTTCTTTGATGAGGAAGCTGCAAGGAGTTGTACAGTGATTGGACCTGCTAAGTATAATGTAGAGCACAAGCTTGGGAAAGATGGACCAAAATACAGCATCGCCCACAAACAATCTCCGGTGATTTATACAGGGCCCCCAAACAGCAAAGTGCAACCTGCCGACACACACGGTAAGTCGACAGAAAATAAAAGAATATCAGGGAGTTTAGCAATATACATGTATTATCTTTCATTTTGATACTTTGCATTTACAATTACTGAAAAGCGCAAAAACAAAACTAAAAATAAATCCTGTTGAAGTGTATGACTGGCAAAGTACAAGTCCCAATGTCAACTTGTTGGATTTTTCAGTTTCATTTTCTGTATATTTTCAAAAGATACAAAATAAGAACAAATGCATCATAAAACATGGTTCATGTGGAAGGCAACTGTAGAAAGTAACTTAGCTATTGTATAATTACTGCAATATTTAGCATATTTCAATTAATTGGGACTCTTTACCAAACAAAAAGCCTAGAGTCTAGGCCCTAAAACTTGTTGTACACAATTTCCTGCAGTATTAAGTAAATGCACTTCAAAAAACACCTGTAGCTTATTTTCCGTGCTGTCGATTTTCAGGGTTCCAGACTCCTGGTCCAAACTATCGACCAAATTCAAGCTACTGGAAACGAGGTCACGAAAAGTCCTTTGGTTCTGCCAGAAATATCAGCTACACAGAAAACCCAGGTAACATCAGAAATCTTTAGGAATATGGTTGGAATGAGTTTATATTTTCCATTGATTTCACTGGCATATATTCAATGGCCACATAGTTATTCTTGCAATTAAAACAATATTTACAACCTTCCAATCTATATATTTGGCACTAGTAGGTCTCCTTGGTGAACTCCTTTGTAAAATTTCAAATGCTAGTGATTTTATGGAATGAAATTGATCTCAAACATCCTTTTAGAAGCAAATATTTGCTATGTAGAACCTTGTATCTCTGAAAAAAATATAAGATTTCAACATTTCCATGTTATCAGATTGTCTGAAAAAGGTGTAATTCAGGCATCAATGTTGTTTTTTGTAATGTTTTCAAAATTTTACTGTAACAGCAGATTTCAAGAATCAACCTGGAGTATTATATATCCTTCTTGCCTTCCATAATAGATATCTCTGTCTAAAAACATTAATACAATTTGTAAATAATCCATGAAAAAATACAATTGGAACATTTAAAACCCCACCATATGAAATTGAACATTGATTAAAAAAAGAAAGCAGGTAATGTCATGCTCTTCACATAATTATTTCAAACACATGAATATATGGAAATTATTTCAACCTTTTTTCACACTTTGATTTCTGAAATTTCCAACTTGAGGGTATATATATACTACCTAATTCATTGTATGTGCTTTATATTAGAGTTAACTCCCCTTTAAAAAATGTTAACATTTTCTACTTGAATTCAAAAGTAGCTGAGGGATATCCCTATTTGTATATTTTTGTCAACAATAAAAGTCAAAACTATTCAATAAGATTCCTTAACAGGTTTCTTTGCGGAAATCTTTTGAAAAGAAGGTGTGTTAACTTGGCATATACCCCAATTAACCCTTTCACTACTGAAGACCATAATGGACTTATCCAGATCAATGCATGGTGGAGTTTACTAAAAATAACAAAGGGGTGAAGGAGTTAATGAAGTGCTAGTATCATATGATAATAATAGTTGTAGCATTGTAGGCCCGGGGGACTATTGCATCAAGGATCCTCCTGCTGGTGTGTCATACTCCTTCGGATCAAAACTCCCGCCAACTCCAAGTGTCAAGAGAGGTTAGTGTCACTATATAAACCAAAGTTTTAAAATGTAAAAAAAATCCCTAAACTTTCATAATTCGTTTATATGAAATTAATAAATGTTTGTATTCCATTAAATGTATGCATCATAAAACTAGATATACATCAAGTTCTATATATGTTTCCTCAATATAGTTTTGGTCATAATCGAGTTTACAATCATAAATCTTTTTTTCGAAACAAGTTAACACAAGCAAATATCAAAAGATATCTGATGAAGCCTCAACTTTAACTTAGAGATGAAACAAGTTGGCTAAATGAAATGGAACATCCACTTAATTGATGATGCTTAAGTATGTTGTGATTATATATATATCTTCTATTAATAAGGATATGTTCTTTGTTAAATGTTTCTGTTGAAAACGAAATGATTGATTTTCCTTTACTCATCAGCAACATATACTGAGAGTCCAGGCCCTGGGACGTACAATCTAGGAACAACTATAGGAAAAGCCACATCAGTTTCTATATCTGGAAAGGCAAAAGAAACTGACCTTGGAGGTATGTAGGTCTAATAGCTTTTGCTATGTTAATAAATAATCATGAAAATGATAATGACTTATGATTTGAATAACAATTCATGATCATATGATGTATTTTTGTTCATTTCACTAGAACAGCTACATGTATTAGATATGTTGTAGGCATGTTAGTACCGTGATTCCTCCTAGCTTCTGTATTTCTAAATGATAAGATAATTAATACCATTAGTTACCATATGCATGATGATTGGCTATCAATAGCTGTTTTCTTGTCTTTGCAGACCTATCACCATCAAACTGATATATCTATTGACATATTGTGATTTCAACCTGTTCTTGTAATGTATATGTTGCCATGGAGCTTTACATATTGCCATGGCAACTAAAATTTTACCATGCAAACAACACACTTCAATTTCCACTAACATATTGCCAAGGTGACAAATGTATTGCCATGGTTATTGCAGTGATGACTTCTGTACATATTGCCTTGGACTATTTACTATTATTGTCTTCTGCAGAGTGCCATCAGCAGAAGGTAATAATGGATTCAGTACATCACACAACTTTACCTTGATAACCTAATCAATATATTGCAATCTGTTGTTTAGATGGCTGATCTATTTCTATGCTCCAGTATTCCAGGGCCCGTCTCCTGCGACATATTACCTGCGCAACTCTATGAACTTTAATAGGAAGCCCATTACTCTGGCCTATCGCTGGTTTGGGCGTGATGGTAAGTGTAGGATCTGGCATCCACATCTTCTATCAGTCAATGATCATTTAATCTTCAATTTTATTTCAGATTGAAATTGACACACTTAACAAGAATGTCGATAGATCAAACATCAACTCAGCGGTCATTCAACCCGAAATCTGCCTATCATGGAGGCATTAATCCAAGAATATTTGAGAACACACCAGGACCAAATGCCTACAATATTCACACAACTGTGGGTACTTCTATAGCAGTCAGTCTTACAGGAGACCGAAAGAAAACCTATACGCCAATTAAGAAAGGGTCAACGTTTTTAGTACCGAGGGTATTGGATGTTACTCCCGGCCCAAATGCCTACAACCTTCAGGACAGTAAAGGGCTTGGAAAGACTGGATTCGCTGCTAGTTTTAAGGGATTCCGTGTTGATCCATTCAAACCAAATGTTGATCTGCTAGACGTGAACCCACATTACCATGGATTTTGGAAGGCTAAAAATGCATTCAAGTATGCACCTGTGCCACCAAAACCACCAAAAGATGGTTTTACATTTAAAGGTGATCGAAGGCATCCATTTAATGAAGCTAAGGGAACAAACGCTGTTTTTTTATTGCCACAGTTGGTAGATTCCAACCCCGGACCAGGCGCTTATGACATTGCTCCACTTTGGGGAAGACGTGCTTTAGAAACAGCGTTACTTGGAAAATCCAACGTTTACAAGACAAATCAGCGACCGTTTATATCAAGTGACATGTATGTGAGAGTACATCATCATTCAAGTGACAAGGACACTAAGAGACCTGATGCTGCGAAAAGCTGGCCATGTCATCAAGGTTACATTCCTTCACAACTGGAGGAAGAGTACACCAAAAGATTAGGCAAAATAAAGCAGTCCTCTCAGCCCGGTGTGTCATTCAAGGGCAGACGACTCAATTCATTATTCGGAGGTATTAAAGCATGCACGACTGATGACGGCTGGCTGATTCATCCTGCATGTGCTTATTAATGAACGCTGATATAATTTGTTGTCCCGGTTTGTAATTGCACCAACCTACATTGTATATGGCTTGTATATGATAATGGAGTAGCATTATTTTGGATTTTTTAATATACTGAAATACAAATTCATAGCATCCTAGCTTCCTACATTTTTTTAATTTTCAGCGTACACACTCAGATCCACAAATAGATCAATTTAAACTTTGTTTGATTTTTAATACTGTAAAGGTTCTTAAATTCGAGTTACACCGATTCCGAAAACAATACCATCAGTATTTTCTGTGTGAATTAAATATGAAGAAAAGGAAGTAAGAGTGCCTTGGTATACGTACGTTCCTGATATTGATAGTAATAAATGGCAGACCTATGATCAAAATGTTTACATGGGGTTTTGGGTCGCACATTGAAAGTTTATCACAAATATAGCGAAATATATGTTCTCAGTTACCCCCACCCACCCACGAAATAAAAGCACTTTACAGTAATCACCCTGACAATCATTGGTTGGTCAGGAGTTTCCTTGGGTAACGATATTTTACAAAATCAGTAATTTGATTACAGGGGTATAAATACTACCTGTCTATCTAAGTTATCTCCCCTGTTTGATGTGTTTTGAAGTTTTTATCCTATAATGATTTTATGAAATAATTGATCACTTAATTAATATGATTTGCATTGACAAGACTTGTATGAAGATATTTATGCATGTTGAATTCCGATCATGACTCACCAGAGTTTTTGCTCCAAGCACCGACGTTTTAAACGGCAACATATTCAATATAAATTGAAATAACCTGTTATATAAATTAAAATTAACATGTATATTGTTATATAAATTAAAATTAACATGTATATTGTTATATAAATAAAAATAAAAATTAACATGTATATTGTTATATAAATAAAAATTAACATGTATGTTGTGATATAAACTAAAATTAACATGTATATAACACCTTGCATTACTGGAATTTCTCATTTGTGACAAAGTGTTTGCATGATTATCATTAATTCAGCTTCTCATTCATAACCTTATTGGAATTATATTTGAATGTTACCAACTTAAAATCTGTAAAATCTGTTTAAATTCATATATATTCGTTTATGTATAATCCTATGCACTAGTATGGAAAGTTATCTAAATTTATACAGTTTTGGGAAGATAATTTGATGCCAACCTAAAATATATTTGCAATTTATAAATATACAGACAGATTTATATGTAAGTTCTGTTTGCTAAAAACATTTTTTTCCTGTTACAGAACCAAAAACTCCTGGACCAGCAGACTACTCGGTGTCAAAGAAAAATTTGAAAACTAATCCAATTTATTCTAATAGACAGCACACAAAGCCATCCTTCCCTGACTCCCTCAACTACACATCGAAAGGTAGGCTCCTAACTACCCCTATCCCTCCCTCACTACCCCTAGCCACCTGTCAACACCTCTAGCTACCCCTCATCTCAATACCCCTAGTCACCTGTCACCACCCCTAGCTACCCCTCATCTCACTACCCCTAGTAACCTGTCACCACCCCTATCTACCCCTCATCTCACTACCCCTAGCCACCTGTCAACACCCCTAGCTACCCCTCATCTCACTACCCCTAGTAACCTGTCCCCACCCCTAACTACCCCTCATCTCACTACCCCTAGCCACCTGTCCCCACCCCTAGCTACCCCTCATCTCACTACCCCTAGTAACCTGTCAACACCCTAGCTACCCCTCATCTCAATACCCCTAGCCACCTGTCAACACCCCTAGCTACCCCTCATCTCACTACCCCTAGCCACCTGTCAACCCCCCTAGCTCCCCCTCATCTCACTACCCCTAGCCACCTGTCCCCACCCCTAGCTACCCCTCATCTCACTACCCCTAGAAACCTGTCAACACCCTAGCTACCCCTCATCTCAATCCCCCTAGCCACCTGTCAACACCCCTAGCTACACCTCATCTCACTACCCCTAGCCACCTGTCAACCCCCCTAGCTACCCCTCATTTCACTACCCCTAGCCACCTGTCACCACCCCTAGCTGCCCCTCATCTCACTACCCCTAGCCACCTGTCAACCCCCCTAGCTACCCCTCATTTCCCTACCCCTAGCCGCCTGTCACCACCCCTAGCTACCCCTCATCTCACTACCCCTAGTCACATGTCACCACCCCTATCTACCCCTCATCTCACTACCCCTAGTAACCTATAACCACCCCTAGCTACCCCTCACCTCACTACCCCTAGTAACCTGTCACCAACCCTAAACAACTACCCGACATCTTACTACCCTAGTAACCGGTCACAACCCCTAGTTACCCCTCATCTCACTACCCCTAGCCACTTGTCACCACCCCTAGCTACCCCTCATCTCACTACCCTTAGCAACCTGTCACCACCCGCTCATCCCCATTTATAATTTCAAGCCACCTTTCACTACACCTAGCAATATTCAATATCCCTAGATATCTATCACTGTCACCTTATAGATTCTCTTTACCTCTTCAGCAACAATTCCTTATCCCTAGGCAACCCATCACTACCCTTTGTCTTCCTGCACTAACCCCTAGCTTGTCCTTCCCTACCCCTTGGCAACCCCCGTCTTCCACCTAGCCACTCTTCAATACCCCTTTCCACCCTTAAAAATAGAAATTTTATTTATTTTACAACAAATATGAAACTTATATTAATCACTCTTGTCAGCTCAGATGTTAGTGCACAAAGGGTCTTAATGTAAGTGGAAACCTGAGTTCCCAGAGAACACATAAGATCTGGGAATCAAATCCAACCCCCCACAACAACATATTGCCTACACCATCACACAGCCTACAACACCACCCAGGTTACATCACTATCTAGCTCACAACATCAATATTGCCCACACCAACACACAGCCTACAACACCACCAAGCTTATATCAATATCTAGCTCACAACATCATATTGCCTACCCCATCACACAGCCTACAACACCACCAACAAGCTTACATTAATATCTAGCTCAGAACATCATATTGCCCACACCATCACACAGCCTACAACACCAACCAGCTTACATCACTATCTAGCTCACAACTACATAGTGCCTACACCATCATAAAGCCTACAACACCACCAAGCTTACATCACTATCTAGCTAACAAGATCATATTGTCTACACCATCACACAGCCTACAACACCGCCCAGCTTACATCCCTATCTAGCTCACAACAACATATTGCCTACAACATCAAACAGCCTACAACACCAACAAGCTTACAACACTATCTACCTCACAACACCATATTGCCTACACCATCACACAGCCTACAACACCGCCCAGCTTACATTACAATCTAACTAACAACATCATATTGCCTACACCATCCCACAGCCTACAACACCACCAAGCTTACATTAATATCTAGCTCACCACCTCATATTGCCTACACCATCATACATCCTACAACACCACCCAGCTTACATCACTAACTAGCTCACAACTACATATTGCCTACCCCATCACACAGCCTACAACACCACCAACAAGCTTACATTAATATCTAGCTCACCACCTCATATTGCCTACACCATCATACATCCTACAACACCACCCAGCTTACATCACAATCTAGCTCACAACAACATATTGCCTACACCACCAAACAGCCTACAACCCCAACAAGCTTACATCACTATCTAGCTCGCAACTACATATTGCCTACACCATCATACAGCCTTCAACACAACCCAACTTACATCACTATCTAGCCCACAACAACATATTGCCTACACCATCACACAGCCTCCAAGCTTACATTAATATTTAGCTCACAACCTCATATCGCCTACACCATCATACAGCCTACAACTTACATTACTATCTAACTAACAACATCATATTGCATAAACCATCACACAGCCTACAACACCCCCACCACGCTTACATTAATATTTAGCTCACAACCTCATATCGCCTACACCATCATACAGCCTACAACACCACCCAGGTTACATCACTATCTAGCTCACAACATCAATATTGCCCACACCATCACACAGCCTATAACACCACCCAGCTTACATTACTATCTAGCTAACAACTACATATTGCCTACACCATCATACAGCCTTCAACACCACCCAGCTTACATCCTTATCTAGCTCAATATGAAACTTAGATTAATCACTCTTGTCAGCTCAGATGTTAGTGCACAAAGGGTCTTAATGTAAGTGGAAACCTGAGTTCCCAGAGAACACATAAGATCTGGGAATCAAATCCACCCCCCCACAACAACATATTGCCTACACCATCACATAGCCTACAACACCACCAAGCTTACATTAATATCTAGCTAACAACATCATATTGCCTACACCATCCCACAGCCTACAACACCACCAAGCTTATATCAATATCTAGCTCACAACATCATATTGCCCACACCATTACACAGCCTACAACACCACTCAGCTTACATTTCTATCTAACTAACAACATCATATTGCATAAACCATCACACAGCCTACAACACCACCAACAAGCTTACATTAATATCTAGCTCAGAACATCATATTGCCCACACCATCACACAGCCTACAACATCACCAAGCTTACATTAGTATCTAACTAACAACATCATATTGCCTGCACCATCACACAGCCTACAACACCAACAAGCTTACAACACTATCTACCTCACAACACCATATTGCCTACACCATCACACAGCCTCCAAGCTTACATTAATATTTAGCTCCCAACCTCATATTGCCTACACCATCACACAGCCTCCAAGCTTACATTAATATTTAGCTCACAACCTCATATTGCCTACACCATCATACATCCTACAACACCACCCAGCTTACATCAATATTGCCCACACCATCACACAGCCTATAACACCTCCAAGATTACATTACTATCTAGCTCACAACATCATATTGCCCACAACAACACACCGCCTACAACACCACTCAGCTTACATTTCTATCTAACTAACAACATCATATTGCATAAACCATCACACAGCCTACAACACCACCTAGCTTACATCACTATCTAACTCACAACAACGTATTGCCTACACCATCAAACAGCCTACAACATCAACAAGCTTACATCACTATCTAGCTCGCAACATCATATTGCCTACACCATCAAAAAGCCTACAACACCAACAAGCTTACAACACTATCTACCTCACAACACCATATTGCCTACACCATCACACAGCCTATTCATATTGCCTACACCATCACACAGCCTATAACACCTACCAGCTTACATTACTATCTAGCTCACAACATCATATTGCCCACACCATTACACAGCCTACAACACCACTCAGCTTACATTTCTATCTAACTAACAACATCATATTGCCTAAACCATCACACAGACTACAACACCCCCACCAAGCTTACATTAATATCTAGCTAACAACATCATATTGCCTAAACCATCACACAGCCTACAACACCCCCACCAAGCTTACATTAATATTTAGCTCACAACCTCATATTGCCTACACCATCATACAGCCTACAACACCACCCAGCTTACATCACTATCTAGCTCACAACTACATATTGCCTACACCATCACACAGCCTATAACACCTACCAGCTTACATT